CTGTTTGGCATTTAAGCTCCTTGCTACCTAAGCCCTTGCCATCTTTCCTGTCTTTTTATAAGTATTTCCCTCATTCTATAGTCCAGTCATAATAGTAGACTTGCCCCATTCCACGTGCCCATGCCACGTATTGACTGTTCACCATGCTTAGAATGTCTTCCCTCTGACTTTTAGAATCCCTGGCTTCTTTCAAGACTTAACTGCCACCTCTACCTTGAGGCCTTTCCCAGTCCACCCAGTTGCTAGTGCTTTCTTCCCCATTAGAGTGCAAGGTCCTTGAGAAAACAGATTATTTTTCCTTTTTCTTTGCATCCTTAGCACTTAACAAAGTGCCTGACATATAATTAATTGTAAGCACTTCCTAACAGATTAGCTTCTGCTAATGTCCTATTCTGGTGTCTCCTCACAGGATAGAGGTGACCCTGGGATCATAAAGGCTATGCAAGCACTGGCAATTTCTAACAAGCTGGAATGACTCCCAGTATGGACCCAGTGACAGAATGCATGTCCACTGCCTGAAAATATACCTAGTTAAATTTGGAACACTCATCACCAAGCTGGATTTTCCAGCTGCAATAGCTATCAAAGTTGTACATCAACAATCTCCACTGATAGGCCTTGACATTAATGAAACCATAAACTACTAAAGGACATAAGAATCAGACACAGGCCTTACTCCCCTAAAGTTTACAAAAAAACTTTTACAACCAAAAGTTTACAATCTAATAAACAGATTTAAGACAAAGCTTCCAACTTATACTTTCCAAACACTTCAATTTCTTTTCTATCACTTCTTTTTTCCAACTACCATACACAATGAAAAGTCTCCTGGAATGGTTTTTCTCAAAACTCAACTCAAAATCATCCCTCCCCAAATAATCATGTATTCATCTTAGAAATATTGTCTATATATTTATATATGTACTTTCTCCCCATTATAATGTAAGGTATTTGAAGGTAGGAAATTTTTCATTTTTATCTTTGTATGTCCAGCAATTAGCTGGCCTATAGTATGTGTTTAATATATGCTTATTAATTAATTGACAAAAGGGTTTTGCTCAAATAAGTAATTTTTAAAATGCACCTTAAACAATTCTACAAAACCTTTTCACTTAATGAGTTTTATCTGTCCAAACAGAGATTCCCCCCACTCCCAAAGGAGGAACTAAGTTTTTGACAGAAACTAAGTTTTTATACTGATATATAACCCTCTTATAAAATCAAAAGCTACAGCAGAATGCTTAAATCTTCAAAAATATTTAATGCAGAGAAAGAGAAGAAAAAATATGAGCACAGGGAAGAAAAAGACCTCCTGTGGCATCATGCAGCTAAGATGACAAAAATACTGTCACTTAACCACAGAATGTTACCTCATATACTATTATTTTATTAATCAACATCACCTAGATACTTATCCTTACTTGTACTGCAACATTGCTATGCCTGTGTGTCTGTTATAAAGAAATAAGCACTGGAATTAGAATAAGAGAATCTGAGCTCAAGTTTTGGATCGGATAGCTACTATCACCTGCCATACTCCCATCTTTCATCTCCATGCCTTTAGAGTTTGTCAGTCCCTACAATGCACTTCCTCCTCAGTTCTAAGTCTTGAAATCCCTAGCTACCACTCCCTCTTTAATTACTTTTTGTATATACTGTATTAATTTATAAACATGCCATCTCACACAATGGAATGCAAGCTCATTGTTTCATTTTTGTCTTGGCAGCCTCAGCACTAACTGTGAGCCCTAATTTTCTATAAAATGAGGGGACTGGAAAACATGATCTCTAAGGTCTTTTTCAGTTATAAAATCTTATTCCTCTATTTTCAGAAAGTTGAAATTATCAGCAAGTAAAGAATTTACCAGCTGCTGTTTTAAGCAGAGCAAGACCTCTAATATAATGTTTACATAGCACAAGTCCCTCACACTGGAACTCCAAGCTAGGAAGGAGAACTAGCATATAGTAGAAAAACGGATTAGGAATCAGCAGAATTTAGTTCTAATTATGGTTCTACTACTGGCTTGCCACCTTAGGCAATTCACTTCACATCTCTGGGAATATGAGGGGATCTGACTAAATTATCTCAAAGGTTCCACCCAATTCAAAATTCTATGACATAACCTATAAGATAATCAGGTTAACATCTGGGTTAGAAGTAAGCATGCTGTATGGAAAAGAGCAATGGATGTGGAGTGCATAGAATAGGTTCAAAGTCCTGATTACATCATTTCTTACTGTAGGGCTTTGGCCAAATCACTTCAACATCTGCAAGGCAGCCAACAGTCCTAGGCCTGCAGTCAGGAAGACCTCTGCCCTTAGGCATTCCTAGCTACAAGACCCTGAGCAAATCACTTAACCTATTTGCCTCAGTTTCCTCAACTGCAAATTGTGGATCATAATAGCATCTACCTCCCAGGGATGTTGTGAGGATCAAATGAGATAATAATTGTAAAGTGCTCGTACCTAGCACATAGCAAGCGCTTAATAAATCCTTCCTTCCCTCGATCAGTTACATTTACCTAATCTATAAAATGAGGGGGTTGGACAAAATGACCTCTAGAAATTCCTTTTCAGCTCTAAATGTTGTGACATGACTGTGATAAAGCTAAGCATTTATCCTTCCCCTAGTCTCTTCCCCTTTAAACCAATCCTGCATTACTAACTACCTACTGGACATTTCCAAATAGATGCCCATAGGCATTTCAAACTCAAAATGTCCAATACAAAATTAATTATATTTTCCTCCAAATCCTGTATCCTTCCATTTCCCCTATTTCTATCGATGGCACCATCATCCTTTCAGTCGCCCAAATTTGTAACCCAGGTATTACCCTCAACTTTCCCTTCTCCCTTCCCCTCATATCCAATCAGGGGCCAAATCTTGGTGACTCCATCTTCACAACATAGTTTTCACCTACACCCTTCTCTCCTTTTACATTACCACTATCCTAGTTCAGGTTCTCAACACCTCTTACTTGGACCATTATAACAAGTTCCTAATTGGTCTTCCTGAAGCCAGGTTCTCCCTTCTCTAATGTGTTTTCCATACAACTGTCAAACAAATATTCCTAGAATACACACTGACCACAGCACTTCCTTGCTCAGGGGGCTTCAGCGGCTCCAATCTGCCTCTAGGAGAAACTACAGAATCCCTCTGTTTGACCCTTAAAGTCCTCTCTAAACTGGTCCCAGCCTACCTTCTCAGGCAGACTGCACATTACTTCCATTCATATGTTCCATACTTCAGTCAAACTGGCCTCCTTGATGTTCTCTACATAATATTCTGTACCCCATCTCCATTCTTTGCACGGGTTGACTCCTATGTCTGCCTCATACTCCTCTTCACTCTGTATCTTAGAATTCCCAGCTTCCTTTTATGCTGAGGCCTATTCCGATCCTCTAGTTCTAGGTGCCCTCTCCCTATAAATTACTTTGTATTTTGTATATATTTACCTACATACATGATATTTTCCTTCCAATATATAACCTCCTTGTAAGCAAGGTCTGTTTAACCTGTCTTTGTATCCCAAGAACTTAGAACAGTGCTTGAAAAACAGCAGGTGCTTCATAAATGCTTACTGAGTAAATGAAAAGCAAACAAAATGGATTTCTTTTAAACTCCTTTAAGTAAAGCACATGAGAACTTCCCTTTTCCCCTGAAGAACATAGTAATAAGAGTAGCTAGCATTTACATAGTACCTTTAGGTTTGCAAAGTACTTTACAAAATTACCTCATTTTATCCTTAGGAGGTAGGGTACTTTTATTATCCCCATTTTACAGAGAGAAAACTGAGGCAGAAAAAGTTAAATGTCTTGTCCTGGGTTACATACCTATTAAATAAATGTCTAAAGGTGGATATTAACTCAAGTCCTCCTCACTCAAGGTCCAATACTCTATCCATTAAGCCACCAAGCTGCCTCTAGTTTATGTACATGTATTTATAATGGCAAATCAGATTGTTTGGACCTAACTTCCAACTCAAATCAATATACAGAGATGACAAAATATCTGAAATGAGCAAATCTTAAGCACTGAAATTCATCTCCAGGTGTTTATAACCCCTCTATTGGAACAAAAATTAATCCTTATGTCACAGTCCAAAAGGAATATAGTGTTCAGACACTAATAAAAGTTAGCAGCAGAGAAAATCCAAGAGAAAAACTTTAGAGAAATCTTTTTTTCTAAATCCAGTAAGGAAAATAAAATCCCTATCTTGGGCAAGGGTCTTCGAAATTCATTAAAATTTGGTGACAGCTTCATATCCAGACCACAAATGCATATTATTTTGACTCCAGGAAAAATTAAAAAGTCTAATTTAGTACTCTATTTCCCCACAACTTCATGATTCAAGAATTTTAGAGTGCACTAAACAGAAATCACCCTTCATTCTCTAAGAACTGGTTTAATCACAGAGCTAGATATAAAAAAGGGGGTGACTAACAGAGTCCTTCCAATTACAAGACTTTATACAAGATTGATGTTTCTTATAGGTAAAGGCAACTAAATAAATAATTTTGGACTGTGGGGAGAAGATGGAGACAGACAAGCCTTTAAGGAATTAGCTGCACTACCTAGATATGAAATGATTAAGTTCTAGGGCCATTTTTAAAAGAGAAGCAACGGATCTGAGAACATTGAAGAAAAAAAAAAGGTAGAAATTATTCTAAGGCTGTGAGTCAGGGAAGCACTAACATTAATTGTTATTGCTGGGAACAATAAGACAGTGTGAGGAAAGGGGGAGGTTGGTAGTTAACAAAATGAGATGTGTTTCAGATGCTTATTTTAGACTTCAGTGGGACATAGAAACTACCACTTCAACACCTCACATTTGCAGTCTGTTATTGTGTTCCAAGTAGTTCCATATTCATTACCTCACTGAATCCTCAAAGCAAACTGGTGAGATAAAGACAACTAGAAATACTTCACAACTATGACATTTCTCCCATAATCACATCTTTGGTATTCAGTGAAAGCAGTCACTTTACAAAAGTCCTACCTGGTCCTTAAATTCTCCAAGTCTTCAGTTAAAATAATATAGTTTTTAGTAAGGAACGCTCCTAATTGGTTATCTTCTACACCAATATCCTTAAGAAACAGAAGTATTTTTTGTATGTCATTTTCGAAGTCCAGTCTCAGAAGGAGAGTACCAACACCTGGGCGTTTTTCCAGTTTGGACAAATTGACCCCTGTAGCAAGTGATACACATTAGCTGAATTACCCATTTTGCTTTGCTCATAAGCATCTTATCTAAACAATTACTTTTATATATCATCAACAATAACACAAACTGTAACTTACATACAATTTTACAGTTACAAAGTTCTTAAATTTATCATCTCATTTGAACTTTTTAACTCCAGGAGGTAAAGGTAGCCCAAGTAACTCCTAAGAAACGAGAAATCAGATACAGAGAACTCAAGTGACTTTCCCTATGTCAAAAAACCAGTAAGCAATAATGTCAGTAGCTGAATCCAGGTCTTCAAATTCCAAATCTAGTGTTTTTCCCAATAATACACTACACTCTCACTCAATCATCATTATATCCAGAAAAGAATTTAGATGGGCAAATGAAAACATTCTCATTCTGGACAGTTCCAGGAAGGCCATTTATGACAATGTTCTAAGAGGGGAATCAGCTCAAGGAAGGAGAAATATTTAACTTGGCAAAAAGAAGACATAAAGAGGAATAACATCATGGTCTTCAAATATTTCAAGTGCTCTACTGTGGAAGAGGGATTAAATTTGTTTTATCCGGAAAAACTAGAATCAATGGGGGGAAGCTATAAGGGATCACATATTGGCCCAACAAGGAAAAACTTCTTAACAATTAGGGCTAACCAAAAGTTGAATGGGCTGCCTTGATAGGTACTGAAAATCCTCATCATTTAAAATACACTGAAAAGAGGTTGGGTCACATGTAAGTATGTTGTAAAGGGGATTTCTGCTCAGGGTTATATTAGGTGGTCTCTGAACTCTCTCCCAAATCTTGGATTCTATGATTTCTAAACCCAGTTGGTGACAACTTAGTATTCAAAATAAAGCAAACAAGTTAAAAAGAAAATGGTGGTACTTATTTAAGGCCTGCTATTCAAAAAGGAAGTCTACAGGGTTGCATTATATAGCAACAGGATTATGAGTTATGCCTTTTCCTCTCAACTGTATTCCTTTACCATTTCTTCACTAGTTTCCATAATATAAAGGATTCACAGAAATAAATACCAAATACAAATTCTTCCTACAGAAAAGCCCTCTCTGGATCTTAAATAGTTATTCAGTAAAATGGAAGCTAGTTCCAAAAAACTATGATTAATGAGGGTGGCGGACACTTTGTAACGGCTTAAATGTCACTACTAACGGTGTCAGCCTTTAATTTTAAAAAAGTACTGCAGTTTCTACATGTTAAAGTATTTCATTCAGTCTGAGCTGTCAGATTCTAGCTGTGTTAAAATAAAGAGATACTCTGGTAAGCTTCTCAGCAATAGCCATTTATTTTTCACCTGTAATTAGCACTTGATATAATCACTCCTGGAGATATGTGCATAAGGGCATTCCAAAATATTATCCAATGATTCAGTCACAGTCCCACTATTTTTACATTGCTGGGTTACCAGCAAGAAAATAACATAAAAGATATCGCCCTAAACACATATGACTGGAAAAGGAGGTGGGCTGGCCTTGAAGCTAGAGAGAAGGATATCAAAGAGACAAACCTATTGGAACTCTGGCATCCACATGATATTTAGAAACCTAGAGGAAAGACCCCAGCACTAGGCAGACTCCCCTTGAGGACTACTGGAGGATAAAGACACTAGAAGGCAATGATTGGCAAACTTCATCACTGATGCAATAACCCACATCGATGGTACCATTGGTACCCTTAAATGTAAGTTATTAGTAATCTCTTTTTGTGTAAAATTGTAGAAGCCAAACCTTAAGTGGGATGTGTTAATACTCATTAAATATGTATCAAGCACTCACACTTTACAAAACTGTAAATTACTCTGAGTCATAAACTTTCTGAGGACAAGGACCACAATGTAAAACTTCTCCACACCTAGAACAGAGCTAGCAATATAAAAGGTGCTCAAAACAATACCTGATAGACTACTTACCCAGAAGCACTAACTTCTGCAGAGTCTCAGAGCGATCCACATAGTCTCGAAGTGTGAATGAAGCTGGCGGCAGAGGCGGTTCTGCAACAATCTGCACAGCATCCTCCTCAGAAATCTGCTGCAGCGGAGAGACGGGGGGCAAATCCTCCAGTTCTGGAAGTCATCATTGTAGACATGTGCAAGGAAAGAATAAAGCTAAGCTCTCCCTACTGCATGCATGCTTCCTATCAAGACAACCTATTTCTGAGTTCACATCTTTCACAAATTGGGCTGATTTCTGCTTTTCCTGGGGGTAGGGTGGAGTGGGGGTAAAGGAATAGGTGGGTGGATTCACACCTATGATTTCATTTGAATGAGGAGTCTGTGTTCTCCTGTGTGTGTGTGTGTGTGTGTGTGTGTGTGTGTGTGTGTGTGTGTGT